CAGAATAAAACCTTTACATTTTAGTGTCTTTCTATTGTTCTACTTTCAAGAGTTGCTTTCAAAGGTCTTCATTTTTGCATTTCTCAGGAATGGAGGTAGCAAAGGAAGCAAAGAGTGTCAAGAAGGAAGTTCAAGTTTAGCTCTGAAAATATTACCACTTTTCACATTAAATGAAAACTTCTTCAACGACTTGCAGACACATCATCCCCCTCTCCGAAATCAAAATATATCTACAAGAATCCTTGAGGAAGGACAAATTGGAGCAAACAAGGGTCAAAAGAGTAAGAAGTGATTAGCTCTGCTTATGCACAGCACCAGTCACAAGGACTAGAAGTCAGGAACAATACGCTACGGCTCATTTTAAGTCCTCACGCCCACCACCCGCGCTGTCTGAGTCCTGATGAGGAGAGGCAGAGGAAAGGGACAAAAAGAAAGGAGAGGAAGGGAAGGAAGCCCCCTCAGGATTGTTTGGAGGCAGGAGAAGGGTGTGTAAAGCATTCTCACTGGAGAAGCATTGCTATATCAGATCCCACCCACAGACATTATCAACTTAAGTGACAATTGTACTCACTCTTGTCCCTTTTGTTCCTGGCAGTCCTGGTTCTCCAGTATCACCCTGAAACAAAACAGAAAAGCCATTATGACCTCTTGTTATAAGAATATAGATCATCTTAAATCCACACCCTCACACCCCTCATTACACAGTCAAGCTTACCTTTTGTCCCGGTGGCCCCTGAGGCCCCTCAGGTCCTTGCATTCCCGGAAACCCAATGACACCTTGTAACCCTGGAAGGCCTCTTTCACCCTGCAGAGGAAGGAAAAGCAAGTAAAACAAAAGTCAGGTCGAAAGAGTCGAGGAAACAAATCAGTAGTAAGCCTCTCTAAGCTCGTCCAATATTGCATAAGTCTATAGTGAGTGTCCGAAAACAAATGCTGAAACGAATTCCTATCTCAGGAAGCTTTTTCTCTACCATTTTCTAAAGCTCTTTGAAGGCAGGAATGTGATACTTGGCAAAATGCTTTCTATATACCATATTCCAAATGCTAACTAACTTGTTGGGTAAATAAAATAATGAATAATTTTTTTTTT